TGCCACAATACTGCTGTTTCACAGTGGAATCTCACACTCTGGATTATTAGTTTATTCACTATACCTACTAAGTGCCAGCATTAGGTGAGACACTATTATAAGCCCTAATTGTGAATATCACAGCCAAAGTAATGACCTATAACTGGATGCATTCAAGACATTCTATGCAAATAATAAGAAACAAACTCCTCAACCCAGATTTCAAATCCCCTTCACTTACGTCTTGTAATTCTATACATCCTGTCACATTACTCATTCCCTCAAATCCTCAGCCTGTGTCCTCCAATGAGCTGCTCTGTCCAGGCATATATACCTGCTGTAAGTTTACCTGAATTTATACCAGGTAAATAAAGAATTTTAACTAAATAGACAATTCCAAGTTGCTTCTTTAAAAAGGCAGGGCCAAGTTACCTCATTTACTGCTTTATATCTTAATCATAAAAGCTATAGCTGGGCTGGCCCAATAGTTCAGCAGACTAAAGTGCCTGCTTAGGCAGAGTGCAGCAGCAGGGTTTCAATCGTGCTAGCCCCACCGCTGGGGCCCGTTGAGAGAGACATCGAGACTGGACATGATGGCACGTGCCTGTAATCCCAGCACTTGGGAGGCTGAAAACAAAAGGATCACTACATGTCCAATCTGTTGAGTGAGATCCTGTAGACCCTGTACCAAATACATTTAAAAAAATTTTAAAAAGAATAGAAAAAAATCTATAATATTTATTAAGTGCTGTCATCTCTTATACACAGTTTGCCAAAACTGCATTATTTAATAACAGTTTTACATGATTCATACCCACCTTCATCTGTTTTATGAAAAGGACTGGTTACATCTGAGGCCTCATCTTTTTCTCTTACCTCCATACCATATACAGCTGCACACATTTATGCAGGCTAACCATTTCCACCTTCTGATGGGTATGTTAACCATCAGTGGCTTTTTCCACTCCAGCCACTGCCTCTCTATCTTTCACAGATAAATCCTCTTGCACAAACCTTGCAGGATTTCCAGGGTGGCTTCCAACCAAGAAACCCTCAGGATAATTCTAATTTCATGTTTGCTCTAAGCACTCAACATACTGTAATCCTCTAAGATACCTGTGTAGATACTGCTTCTGCAAGGAATGCACAGCCATTAGCCTACTAACACTTTTTTACCTTTTCTAGTACACTCCAAACTTACTGCAGTGATTAAAGTGCCCAGAAATTAATTCAGTATGTTCCTCCCACATCCCTGCACTGGAGCCCATCAACATCTGTTGGTATTAAAACTGTGATGGGTGTGGTCATGATGTCACAATGCCAACCTCTGGCAGACTCTTGACTCCTGGGACAGGATGTACTGTGTCCTACACAGTGCTGGTAGCTCAGCAGTGCTGGGGAGGGCTGAGGGTCTATAGGAGAGCAACAAGGGTGGACTCTTGAGTCCTTTTGGAAGGGGTTCAACACTTGGGTTCTTATTAGTGGGGTCTGTTTCTAGGCAAGGCTAGGCAGGAGTTGGACGGTGAATGGAATACATGCTCAGGAACCATGTGGGACCTGAGTTAGGGTTTAGTATATGGGGAATCTTGGCCTAGAAGCTAGGAAACTGATCAAATGTGTATAGGTGGGACTAAGCCTCAGTGCCTAAAGAAAACAAGCTACCTCAGTCCTGAGATAAACATCCTGGCTGGTTAAGGTAAGCTATTAGTTGCTAGGCAACCTTGTGTCATGTGTTAGTAACTTTGCAAAAGTATAAAGAACCGTTTTGTTGTGTGGTTGCATTAGTCTTGCCCATCAGGCAGACCAGCAACCACCTAGCCCAGCTTTTGTCTATCTTTCTCATTCCTGCCACCGTTTCTCCCTGGGTAGAACCAATTGCAGTGAGACCAGCAGATCCCTAGTGGTAATAACAGTACAGATGTCAACAATTTATGGTTACTGAAAGTCATTTTCTGTGATTAAGTGTCTCAATTGGGGTAGGAAGTGTGTGTCAATGAAAGCACAGTAAAATTCGCATTAGCAGTTCATTGTAGGGATCAGTGTCAAAGAAGCTTTGCATGGAGAGAGATTTAATGGAAGACTTCTGCTTTAGGTTCCAGGAGTAATTTAGAATTGATTCTGGAGACTCTGATTGTTTGATCCTGGGGTTAGAGTTTTAAAAACCAAAGGCCCTTGGAGAATGGGTGACTTGAGGCTCAAACATTGGTACTAGTAACAGTCATGATTAAAGCTCTTTAATGCTGGGGATATAACTCAGCAGCATAAGCCCCTGCCTGGCAAGCACAAGGTCTTGAGTTCAATCCCTGGCACACACACACACAAAAAAAATAGCTCAGCCCCCTAAGCATTTATTTAGGCAAAAGCAGGGACCAGGCATTTGATCCCTAGCACCACATGCCTTGCCCAGCTCCACCCCTGTGCATGCTGAGCCAGCCACTGAGACTGGGCATGCCTGTAATCCCAGCACTGAGGAGGCTGAAAATAAGATCACTATGAGTCCAAGCTGCATAGTGAGGCCCTGTACCAAATACAATAAAAATAAATAAATAAATAAATAAATAAATAAATAAATAAATTCTCTTTAACAAGGTGTTCTAAATCCTGTTCAGGTCCAAACTCAAGCCCACTCTCAAGAGGCTAAAGAAAAGCAATTATATTCCTAGATTATCAATCTTTCTGTCTTAAAATTTGAGAAACGTGGTAAGATTACTAAAGAAATTTGTTTTTGTTTTCTTTTTAAAAAATCTTTCTCAATAGTCACTAGAACCAAATAGGAAAAACAGAACCAGGTGGTTAAAATGAGCCTTTTCTTCTAGGACCAAGGTGTTATGGTTTGTGTGTAGTTGTCCCCCAAAAGCTTCATGCAGTCTTGGGGCAGCTTTTGGAGTTTGTGATTAATTCATGATTCAAGGCTAAGATTATGGGTCTGAGGACTGCTGGGATTATGGGTGTGAGTGCTACACTCAGCCTGGGGCAGACGAGGAGAAACACCTGCTCTCTGTTGCCATCTTTGCTGCTACTCCTCCCATTTGCTCTGGCACTTTCACTGTTTTCCACTGAGTTGAGCTGCTGCTCTCTGCCATGTGCGCTCTGCCTTGGAGCCAGCTGAGTATGGACTGACATCTCCACAAACTGTGAGCTAAATAAACGTTTCCTTCCTTCATTTTGGGTGTCAGGTGTTTTATTTTCTCTGCTTGTTTTTTGCCCTTTACTAGAGTGTAAGCTCCCTGAAAGTAAAGACTTCTCCCTCAACATCATGGCCATAATAGGTAGTGGATATGAGTTTATAGACTAAGTAAAGGCAGCCCACTTTGACTTGAATCAGGTTTTCTTTCCATCTACTTCTTTACCTAACAAAGGCTTTCTTGTATTTTACTGTGTCGCTTCTGACAGTGTAACCAATCTGTGTTCATTATTATTTAACCTTGGTTTCTGTGCTTGTTCCTTTATTTTTCGATCTGTGTGTATTGTATTTTCATCAAATGGACAAGAAATGAGCATTACTAAACATTATTATTTCTTGGTTGTCTTTTCTCTCAGAGAAGCAAGAAACGGTCGCTACGCTTAGGCACCGCCGAGAGGAGGCGCGCGTGCGTCATACGTCATCAGCGCGCGCCGGAAGCTCGCCTTCCGCTAAGGCTTGTGGGAGGGGAGACCGGGCGGCGAGGGCATCGCTGGGAAGTTGAGAGAAGTGAGCTCCGCCCCTAAGAGGTTGCTGTGGGCTCGAGAGAGGGAGTGTGGTCGGAGCGTAGGGCAGTCCTGGATGCAAGGCTGGGGAGGGACCGTTTCGTAGGCATCTAGGCTACGTAGGCGATTGCGTAGCTTTCCCCCCTGGGGATAGCCGGGCGGGCGAGGAGAGAAACTTGTGGGAGTCCAGGAGTTGCGCGTAAGTGAGAGGACGCCTTTGTGGCCGGACACAGCGGGCTCAGGATGTCAGCGGTTATAAATGTGCATTTACCAGCAGCCAAGAGCCCTGAGGTCGGGAGTTGGGGCGTGGCGGGCCCCCTTGGCTGTAGGACTCGGTGGTTTCGAACTTGGGTGGTGTTTGCCAGGGATTGTGGCCCTTCGTTAAGGGTATGGGTTAATAGGAACTCCGGGCCCCAGGAGTCCTTAGGGGATGTGGGTGTACGTGTGCTTCTTGTACAGATGCGGGAGTGATGGTCGCTTGTCTTGTGCACAGATTGAGAGAGTGGAGTTTCGGAGGCTCAGAAGTCCTGGCTGGTGAGTTTGTTCAACTCAGACATTGGCTGTGAACGCACTTGATGTGTGTGTGTGTTTTAGGGAAGGGTCTACAGGCTGTTGAGGGTGTCACTACTAGATGGGACGCAGTATTGATCCGCCTGTGTACAGCCTCCTGAGAGCTGGGATTACAGGCGCAAGCCACCACACCTATTCTCAATTGCCCTCTCAGCGCGCCCCGGGGTCAGGCCTGACACAGGCCAGGATAGAACCTGCCCTGGGCCTGCTTGCAGGCGCTTTAATCTGCTGAGCTATTTGGCCGGTCCTTGATTGACATTAACATTTCTCCAAATATTCAGGTCCAGGTTCCTCCTCTGTTACTAATTTTCTGATCCTCTGTTTTACCACATAGTCCAATCTTCTTGAACACTCACAAATTAATTTTTTTTTTTTTTTGGGGGGGAGATCAGTGGTTCCACATACTTAAAATAGGTTTTTTATTTAACAGTGTTTTTACCTTGTAAGTTTACTGAATAGTCTTTTCAATTCTCTATATCAGTATTGGTATGGTTTGTGTCTAGTTGTCTCCCCAAAGCTTCATGCAGTCATGGGGGCAGACTTAGAGTTTGTGATTAACTCATGATCAACTGGGATTATGGGTGTGAGTTGCTGGGATTATGGGTATGAGTGTTGCACCCAGCCTGGGGTGTATACTCTGACTGCAATATAAGGGAGACAGATTTCCTCTCTGTTGCCATTGTTGCTGCTACTGGTCCCTTGCTTTCTTGCTTTTTGCCACAGCCATGAATAACTTCTGTCTGCCATGTACCACTCTGCGCTGGAGCCAGCTGAGTATGGACTGAAACCTCCAGTAACTGTGAGCTAAATAAACCTTTCCTTCCTTACATTTGGGTGTTGACTACTTTGTCCCAGCAACGAGAGAAGAGTAACAGAGGGAGACAAGTATAAAGACTGTTATTAAAGTGCTTATTATATATATAT